GTTTTGTTGTTTTCCTTTGTCATTAAGTCCTTTTACATTTAGTGTTGCTATTTTTAATTTGGTTTTTTGAGTTATAATTATATGAGGTTGTTGGATCCCTTGAATTAGAAGTGGCTTGCTTCTCTATAAGTTTTTTTGTATGAAGATGATCTTGTTTCGTCTTTTTTAGATGTTTTGTTTCCTTTCTTGTTTTTTCTGTTAATGACTGTGATAAAGCCATCTGTTTCTTTATTTTTGTTAGAAGGAGAAGCTGCTTTAGGGATGTGACTTGCAGATAGATGTGGTGTTTCATAGCCATAAATAACAAGTTCATCTCTTGATAGTATTTCTGTATCTGGTAAAAGATCTTCTTGGGTTGTCACTTGTATATGTTCATCTGAGCTGTTATTTGTTGTAGCTAATTCTGCTGAAACTGGAAGCTGAAGGTTTTGCTGATAGCTAGGGTCTGTTTCCTCTAAGCCCATATGCGTATCATCTTTTGTAATATTTTGTTCTTGCTGCTTAGGGTTTGCTGGTAATAGAGGTTCTTTATTGCTCTGTTCAGTACTTTCTAGAGTCTTATTTAATTCCTGAAAGTCATTTAAAAGTCTTTTATTATGTTTGTCCTCTTTGTATTGTTGGCATTCTTTTTTAACATAGCCTTCTTTTTTACAGAAGTAGCACATTTTAGGTGCTAATTTCTATTTTGTTGTGACTTTATTGTCCCACACGTGTGTGAAACAAGATATTTTACTTTCTAGGTTAGGATCGTCTGAGTTTTCAAAGATTATAATCCATTGGTCTGTAAGGTAAGGTGTTCCTTTGATCAGTAGAGGCTTGATTGATGCGATTCTTCCCACAAACTCAAAGGCTTCCTTTATAGCATCTAATATTGCTTCTTTGTTACCTAGCGAAACATTTCTGATCTTAACTGGAAGAAATAATTTTCTTGAATCTGTAGGAATAAAGCTGAAGTAGGTTCTGCTAAAAATATTAATACCCTTGATAGCATAGTGTTTTAATTTGTCTTTATTTTCAAACACAATTTCCAAATGTGTGCATGTCTCTTTTGTGAAGTGTTGTTTTGTTGCTATAGTATCTTCTTTATAGTTCTTGAATAATGAGGCCATAATTTCATTAAAAGAGCTGTGCATGCCTTGAATGTCTATCATTAGAACATTTTTATTTTTTGATCTAATTTGGCTTCTGGGCATGAAGAAGAAGTAGGTCGACTGTCCCCTTCTTAATTTTGGAAAGAGACTAAACCACTGTTTAGTTAGTGTCTTTTTTGGACTTTTTTGTCTGTCACTGTCTTTTTGTAAGTTATTGTTAGGGTTAGTTTTATGTGTTTCGCTTAATGAACTGCTACTTTGTGAGTTTTTTATTATGTCTAGCTCCTGTCCTGTTGTATTTTTAGTTTATTCTAAGTTGTCTAATATTACCTGTTCCTCAGACATGTTGTTTGTTGTTGTGTTTATAGTATCTTTAGATGTGTTATTTTTGTTTACTTTTTGGTCTTGAGTAGCTTTCATTCTTTCTATTTCTAGTTCAACTTGTTTGTTCCAGCTTGTTGTGTTTTCACTAGAAATTTCTTTTAGTACCTGCTTATTTTTTTGTTCATGTTTGGTAGTTTCTTCTGTGTCAGTCATCAAGCTTAAAGAGCTTGACATGTTTTCTTTGTTTTCCTTTACTTTTTTTCTGCTGCTTGTTGATGCCATTTTTTTTGTTGTTTTTATGCTTTTTGTGTATTGAAATTCTGTAAAGGACCTTTTTCTTAGAACAAGGGCAAGGGCTCTTGTTTTAGTAAATACTTTAGCTGGTTTTGTCTTGTTGTTTGCTCTTATTTTTAACAAAAGAATTACTTTATTCCAAAACTCGTGTGTTCAGGAAAGAGTGTATGCAGATTGATTTACAATAATACAATCTTCAAAAATACTATTTGTAAAAATCTTAATCCAAAAAAGAAAACCTAAAACAGATAATCTTTACAATTAAAAAATTTTAAATTACTAATTAATTTGAACATAAAGTTACATAATGCAAAACTTATTAGATTAGTCATATAAAAAAACTTACAAAAATAGACAAAACATCAGTAAAATTATAAAGAAAACTATTAAGGTTGTATAAACTCTACAAAGATATAATAGTTTAATAATTAATTCTAGCTACAAATATTGATTCTGATTATAACAATACTGAATTAACTGTAAATAAAAATATAAAAAGTTTTAAAAAATTTATCTCAAAAATAAATTAGTCTTAAAATTGAAGGTTTAAAATAAAACACCCAAGCAAAATATTAGATAACAATAAATAAAAAATCTTTAGACAAACTTCTTAAAATAGATAATATAAAAAAATTATATGTATAATCAATTGTATGTTTTTCTTGTAATAGTTTTATGTAAATATATTATTCAAAAAATATTAAAGTTAAAAAATTAAAAAGATCATTTAATATCAAAAAAATAATTTATAAGTACAGAAAATTTTGTAAAACTCTTATTCATTATAATAAATTTGTAAAATATTTCAAAATTTAAAAAATACAACTTGTCAACTATAAATTATTTAATTAATAAGATATTAGACTTTATATTATTATTTTAATTAAACAATAATATAGAAATATGAGTCTTATATTTTAGTAGTTAAGTTTCTATACTTCTACAGCCTAGATTGATAGTTTAAATTCAATTGAAAACAAAATTCAAAAAAGTTTTGATTTCTGTAACTCAAAAAAAAATCAGTAATTAAATACAGAATTCTGTAAACAAAAAACCAAATGCAATATATAACTAGAATAAAAATTTTTAGAAGAAGACTAATTTGTAAAGTATAGAAACTATTTGTAATAGTAATATTACAGAAGGTTTTATTAAATAAGAAGTTATGCAAATAAGTTCTTCAAATATAGATTAGCATTAACATCTTTGTATCTAACTTGTAAAATAGTTAATTAGAAAAATAACTTCAATATAATATAAATTAAAATAATAAAAAAATAGTAAATATAAAAAAGACTTATATTAAAGAATTAGTTATTTCAAAATTAAAAACATCTCTGATACTGTAGAATTTCTAATATAGAAGGTAACTAAATTGTATAGAAAATATAATCTGTTCTGCATGTCTAATATATAAAACTGAAATTCTGATTACAATTATATAAAAATCTATAACAATATAAAAAAGAATATACTAATATAAATGCTATATCAATTAAGATTAAGATAACTCAAATTAAAAATAATAGTAATACACAATAATCAATAGCTAGAAGAGATAACTCAAAAATAGCTTCTAATTAATATTATAAAAAAGAATATTTAAAAAACAGATTAGATATACAATTTATTGATAATGATATTAAGATTAAAAAAATGCAAACTAGTAGTAACAACAGAAATTTGACTTAAGATACATGTTACTAGTACTTGAATTGAGAAGTTACTAATAGTAGCAGAACTTTGGTTTGAGAATCTGATGAATCAATTTAGAAGTTGTTTAAGTAGATTATAAAATATAAAAGAAATATGCAAGTTATTCAATATAGACAGATATAAAGCAAAATTTAGATTATATATAAATAGAACATAATACTAAGCTCTAATAGGTTTAAGTTATAGATAAATTGGTCTAATAAGTTTAATAATAAGTATAGAATGATAAACAATATATAATATAAAAAATTATAAGCTATAACAATATATACAAATAAATAAATTTAAGATATTATTTTATTTTAATTTAAAAAAAAATTTAAACAATAATATATATATTAAAAAAATATAATAATGCTAAATGGAGATATGACAACTTAGTAAAATAGATAAGTTGTCAATCTTCCAAGTAGTAGGTTGAATATTTAAATCTTATTAATAGCAAAAATTTGAATAATCACCTATATAATACTTATATTATAGCAACTATTTTTATTGATTAAATTAAAATGTTTATAATAATAATTATACTAACATAACTGACAGATTATAAAACATCTGTATAAGTATAACATTATACAGAGAAATGCAAACTGATATTAGGCAATGCAAATTTTAAATAATATAAATCTGTTGAAATTGAAAAACAAAAAGTTTATTTAAGAAGATCTAAATAGAAAGATAACATGCTACTATAAAGGCTAACTTTAGAAAATGAATACCAATGTTGAAGTACTTGGATAAACAAAAACTACTAAATAAAGAGTATTATTAACCAGACTGACAGAATAGATTAAAAAAAAGAATATTAGATTAATTTGATATATTAATAAACTGAAGTTCTAACAAACTATCTAAATTGAAAATCTGAAAAACAGACAAAAATATTTAAAGTAATTAAATATATTATAAAATAGATGTTAGAGTTCAAGTAAACTCTACAAAGACATAGCAGTTTAATAACTAATCCTAACTATAAGTGTTAGTTCTGCTATAATGATACTAGGTTAATTATAAAAATAAGTATAAAAGGTTTTAGAAAATTTATTTTAAAAATAAAATAGTTTTAAGATTGATATAATGACCTGAATATAACTAATAATGTTAATAAAGATGCAGGTTCAGAGGATTTAAAATAAAACATTCAAGTAAAGATGTTAAATACAGCAATTGATAAGCAACCTTTAGACAGTCTTCTTAAATAAGTAATATAAAAAAGTTATATATATAACCAATTATACACTCTTCTTATACCATGTTAGAAATCTGTTTTAAAATTTATATTCTTATGAAAACATAATTATTTAATTTAATGTTTTCAAAAATATTTTTAGTTCTTAATAATAAAAATTTTTGTTACTATTTTTTGAAATTTTTTGGATAATATTAGTAATTTATTCAAATTTTTGTTTCAAACTTGTACATCTTTTATATTTATTTATTTTTCTAAATTTAACTTATTTTCTAATTGCTAACTTTATTTGTACCATACTATATAGAAAACATATTTATTAAGCAATATGTTCTCAATAATTTTTTTATAGAGAATATATTCAAAGTAACAAATATTCTTAAATCCAAAAGTATATTCTTTTGAAAATATAAAAATATTAGATTTTCTACACGGTTTCTATAGTAGTTTATAGAATCATATTATTAAAAAAGTTGTTAATAAAAGTCAAAAGATCAAAAAAGTCATCTTAATAAAAAAAAATAATAATGCTAAATTATTTTTAATAAATTAAAATAGATTGTAATAATAATAATATATTTTTATTATAAATTAATATATTAATAATTTTTTGAAAAGGTAAGATGTAGCAATCTAGTGAAGTAGATAGGTTGTTAATCTTCAAGTGACAGGTCTAGAATTCAAATTCCAGAGTTGGTAAAAATTTGCAATTCTTTTTGTATTATAGTTAACTGGTTTCTGAAATTGGTTAGAATCAGATACTTGCTATTTGTGTTATACCAATATGACTAAAAGGTTATATAGTATTTGTACAAACTTGTATCAAGAAACACAAACTGGTACTAGGCAATATAAACTTATAATAAGTTCTGTGGTCATGTAAATTACAAACAGAAGTCTACTTAGAAGATCTAAATAGAAAGATAACCTGAACTTTTAACAGATTATTATAAAAACTAGCTTATAAAACAGTTTAGAATCTGTAAAACCAGATGAAAATAAGTCAATCTTTAAAAAAGAGTTATTGTAACCAGCCAGGCTACCAAAACTGTTTTAAAAAAAAAGATTACATGTCAAAAAACATATAAACCAAAGATATAGTTTATTTATCTTTTCAAACTATTTGAACTAAAAGTTTAATAAAACTTGATTTAAATATCAAACTAGTAAAAATATGTTATAAAGTAAGTACTAGAGTTGAAATAAACTTTACAAGAGCATAGAAGTTTAATGATATGCTCTAACTGCAAGTGTTAATATTAATCATAATGTTATCAGATCAGCTATAAGAATAAAATATAAAAGATTTTGAAAGATTTAGTACAAGATCAAAGGTTTTTATATAAATGACTATTTTAAAGACTTAGTAAACATGACATATTTGTACTAGTATTAACTAAGGCATTTTGATAAGTATAATTAGGTTGGATGGATATAAAAACTAGAATATTTAAATAGAGAACTTATAAGCAGGTTCCAGATATAACAGCTAGTATAGAATTTTTAAGCAAATTACTTAAATTAGACAATAACTAAAGTTATATAAATAACTAGTTATATATATACTCTTTTTATAATTATTCTCTATAGTTGTAATGCAACTATTAGCTGAATATACTATTAATAAAATTCTGAGTTATAAGTATTTACTTAAAATTTTTTTGAAAAGATTTAATATTAAATACCAATAATGTAATAAATTTGAGTATTTCAAAAATTTTACTATATAATAATCTTTTTTTATATAATTATATAATAAAACTTTTAAAATACTTAGTATAGTATCTATCTTTTGTAATTAGTATCTAAAATATTACATATTATATATAATAAACAAATACAAACAAATCCTAAATCTCTAAAAAATTATTATTAATTATAAAAAATTAAATCAAATAAATAATTCTAAAATTTTTAAAAGAATGTAATAACTTAGTAAAGTAAATAAGTAGTCAACTGCAAAATGATAGATTATAAGTTCAAAACTTACTAATATCAAAAATTTAGATAATCATTTATGTAATACATAAACAATATTATGGCAATGGTATTCTGTTAATCAGTTAGAATAAAATGCCTATAAATATGATCACATTAGCATAACTAACAGATTATAAGACATCTGTATAATCTTAGTTACACAAAAGAATGCAAACTGGTACCAAGTAATGCAAATCTAAAATAAATTCTTGTAGCTATATAAATTTGTAGAACTAAAAAAAATCAGAGTTTACTTGGAAATTCTAAATAGAAAGGTAACACAAATCTTTAATAGTATTATTGTAAAAGCTAAATATAAGAAACAGATATCAATATAGAGGAATTGGGCATACAATAATCTTAGATAAAAAGTACTTCAACTAGACTATCAGATTTCAAATTAGAAAAAAAAAATATTAGATTAAATTCGATATATCCAAAACAAGTTATAATCCTTCTAGGCTATTTGGATTGAAAATCCAAGAATAAAATAAAAGTATATTAAAAATACTAAAAATATATTGTGAAATTAATGCTAAGGTCTGGATGTACTTTGTAAAAATAACTCTTGTTAATATTTTTTAAAAAATACGTAAATAGTTAACAAAGAAGACCCTCTATGTTTTATAAACAGATATCATACTTTGAAATATATAATAACCTGAGAACTAGTACAAAAAAGATAGATATCATACTACTTAGACAGTATACTGAATATATATAAGAAATATAGTACCGTTTATAAATAATAGAACAGATAATCAGGAAGTTTAAAATAAATAACCTTTTAATAGATTATAGGTATAACATCTAGTGTAAAATCCTAAAACATATTACTTAAATAGGCAACCAAAAGTTGCACATATGACTAGTTATACTCTCTTTTCTGTAAAAATAGTATAAACTAATCTCAATTAAATAAAGTTTATTATAAAGTATAGTCTTTAACAAAAAAAAAAAAATTTTTATAAATATATTCTTTATAACTATAAGACTATACTTTTTTTTTAAATATTAACGGTGAGGCCATGCCTTTAACTTTATTGAAATTCAATTTATAAGAATATACTTGATTTATTTAAACAATGATTATTAATAAAATTTTTGAGCAATAAATTTGACCAAACCTTTTGAGTTTGTGAACTTAAAGGATCTAACCAAATTTATAACTTTAAAATTTCATTAATAATCATTGTTTAAATAAATCAAGTATATTCTTATAGCTATAAAAAATATATTTATAAAATTTTAGAATTAATTTAATTTAATTAGCAATTATTTTTTAAAGGTTTGGAATTTGTTCAGATTTGTTCAGCATGTATAAGTACTATAGTAAGTGATGTACAAGTAATTAGGGCGTCATTTATCAGTTATAAAAGGTGTTTGATAAGTCATAAACAGGACCTTTTTGTTATCATTAAATTATGTATTTTTAATAGAAATAAAGAATTCTAGATAGGTCCTTTTACTAATAAATTTATACTACTAATAATCAAAATGATTAACAAAAAGGTCCTGCCCAGGGACTTATCAAGCACACGGTAGAACTTCATATAACCACTAGCCGTCCATATTACGTCCAGTATATATGATGAATTATCAATGTAGATTAAAAAAATTACATGTGTAGATTGAACCGAAAGCAGAGTGACGGGTAACACCTAGTGTTTTGTGAAAGATTTACAGGCGTTGCTCGGGGGTCACTGTGCTTTCGCCCTACTAGCCATGATTAGTTTTCCCAGTTCTTCGACCAGGACGGTCCGATTCCTAATTGTTGAATTGAATATATTCAATTCCAAATTTTTGAAAAATATATGCCGTAGAAGTTTGTTGTAAACATTTTTAATAATGGTTTGTAATATAGGTTTTTTATAATGGATTGTTATATTGCAGTTTACTATAACAATTGTATAACAAATTTGTTGTATTTATATTTTAATGATCTTATGTAATGGCTGTATAATAGTTTTGAATATTCGAATTAATTCAAATTCATCATACGAATTGATTCGAATATTCAGTTATTCGACTATTCGATTCCAACCTCTAATTAAAGCTAAGGACGGAAGATGAGTCGGTGATAGACACTTTGGATACGACTCATTGCACAATTTTTGTATTTGATAGATGACATCACTAAATCAAACGGTAAGATATTAATAATTCGTTTTACATGGTTATAAAGGGCGTAAAAGAAAATAATTACTTACTCATTCAGTTGAAAGCCTTTGGCATTTTTGTCAAACTTGTTAAAGGGTCTATTTCTCCAATTTCCATTATATAAATCCATCACAAAAGAATTGAAATAATTGATTTGATTGATGTTGTACTGCAACGTATCACCAGTTACGGATGCATCCCGCTCGTATTTATCGAATTCATTTTGATATCTATCAAAGTTATTAAATATTAAATTTACTAACTAAGCAAAGATTAAATAGATGAAAAATCACGTTACCGTAGAATAATACCACAAATTCGTGATAAAGGCATTCCATAAGTCGAAAAAAAAGAACGATAAATGATTGAATATGATGGCAAGACAATACTGTGGAATTTATATTTAAGTTGTAGAAACGTTGAAATTTCCATAAAAGATAAAATAGCGTGTTGTACTTCTATTTGGTTCTCGTCCTAGGATAAAGAATTAAGCAGTTTAAGCGATTTACAACAAATATTTACAAATGTTCGTGATGAAACCTTACCTCAGGCACGATTAGGATAGTTCTGTCAACATAATCAATAAAATTAAGTATGGCTTGAGGATAATTTCCGTTAATTGACAATTTCTCAATCGAATCACCTCTAATCATGAACAGAAAAAAATTTTTTTGAGGATAGTGAAATCATGCGTCAAATAAATTGCCTTTCTTACAGATCTTCAACATCATCACTGTTTCCTTGTTTCATCCTTTCGTAATAACTCCCGTAAAGTAAAGTCCAATACTTTAGCAAATCAGTATAACAACGAATCAATTTGGACTAATCAAACAATTGATAGAAATATTAATTATTGCTCAATATATTACAGATATATCATGTAGTGCAAACCTTCCAACTAGCAGATGAATTACAATACAAAAATTGTAATGGCTTCAAAACATTTTCATAAAATTCTAAAAGGCAACGATTATAATAAATGAAGACAGTCCATAATTAATTAAATTTACAACCATAAATTGTATTAACTTTAAATATAACAAAAACCGACGGTTATAAGGTCCTGGCCTTAGGAATGTCAAAAGTCTAAAAATTGGTTCTTGATATTCTCCACCATCCCAAGAATGAACATATTTCGTTAAGAACTCCTGAATATCAGGAAGTAATTCCTACAGACAAAATAACATGCTTTCAACGATATGTGTATGACAAAACATATAGACACAAAATTATACCTTCATGAACTCTGTCATAGTAACTAATTTATTCAACAAGCAATCAAGTCTCATCTTCGTATTCGTGTTTTGATCGCTCCAATAAACTAGATCCATAAGATATTGATCAATCCAGTAACTTATTCTTGCCATGGCAACTCCTACAAACAATAAGATCGCGTATGTCAATAACATTGATCTTTCTGGTATACACTAAATAAATTTTGCATACTTTCTGGATTTGACACTATGACATGTTGAAGCATACGATTGTCCAAAATAGAAGCCAATTGATTTGGTAGCTCGACTTTATCAATATTACTTGCGAGTTGCCTGATATCCGACATTTCATCAAGAGTTACCGATTTCTAATAGTGCAAAACCGTTTCATGACCATGGTTGTTAGTTTGATCAATTTAAAAACTGCGTTTCGTATTTTATAGTCCTTACTTGAGTGACATTATACGTGCGCGCAGTTGGTATATCGTTATGTTCTATTTTTCTTCGTTTCTCCTTAATCGATAAAAACAATATGAATAAATATAAAATTCTATGAAAGACTTTATTTATTATAATAGTTAGGTACCAACCATTGTTCTTGGGATCGTTAGTCTTGCCAGAGGCATATTAAATGAGGACTTGTCGCTGTTCCATCTTCTCTGAATTTGGTTTACCAGCTGAGACCATGCCATATCAGGGCACTTAAAAATTTTTTTGCTTTAGAATTTTTATGGATAACCGTTCCTTCAAATTAATACATGAATAAATCTCTCGACCTTAAATGTAATACTTCTTGAAGGTTGAATGTTAATTGTCACTAAATTTGGAAAATAATCTTTATAAAGCTTTAATAATCCTTGAATATGGGGTTCATAACCAGTCCGTGTCTGTAACTCCATTCTACAATGGTGATGATGATTAATCAAAAACATAGGTAATCAATGATAAATGCATATAAAATGAATCAAGCAATTACAATTTGCGTATTCGATATGACTTCACGTGTTCCCTCCGCGTCATGAGATATAAAAGATGACAGAGAATTGGCCTATATAAAGAGAGAACAATCATCGTTGTTATTTCTTCATTAGAATAGGATAATGATAACTATTATGATACCTTAAAGTAGCATATTCCAAATAATGAAAAATAACACCATAAAGTCTATAAAGTTTTGAATGGTCCATTATAAAACCATAAACCAATACAACCCAACGAAGTAAAAGTGCCTTGTAAATTAGAATAATATTTAATATCCTGACAATAATAAAACCTCAGTTTTCAATAGATGAACAAATAAAAACCTGTATGCTGTGTTTCATATTTTTATTTCCAAGATTCCCAAAAATTTTTATTACAGATATTTCAGATACTTTCTTACGTGGTACAAGGAATTTGATTAGTTTCCTAACATCAGAATCATCTGATTAAAAGCCAAGACAACAAGTCTGAGCTACATATTCCTAGCGCTACTAAATCATTCGTTTTATCAACACAATTAAAGCTCACCAAGCTTTCCCTTTAGAATAACTTCTAAAAGTTCAACTATTTGCGTGTCTTCAAGGCCATACCATTGAATAAGTGTTTCTAATTCATCGGTTTGATCTTTTATGGTGTTTTTACGGTCTTTATCCTTGAAGCTCGCACCTAAACTCATTACAACACGTTCATTTTATACAGTTCTCTGACGGTAAAAATACCTTAAAAATATGCAGAATCGTACTTTGGACTATGTAGCGTATCTTTTCGTTAAGCACCCCAACGCGACTTGTAAATTTTGGCGGCATCATTAAAATGAATTGCGTGATTTATAATGAATAAAAAAACAGTGGAAAGAAAGTAACGCGAAATTGAATAACACACTTTCGGTTACACGAGCTGCAGATCAATTCTGAGTAGTGATAACCAATCAAAATCGTTAATTTTAAAACAAAAAGCAAGAATCAAATTAATATAAAGTAAATGGTTTAAACACATCAAAGAATTTTTTTCCTTAAGGCCGCTTGCAATTGAATTTTCGGTTAACATCACTTTTAGAACTCTTGGGTGGGGGAGGGAGGATAAAATTAAACGAACATATGTAAATCAAGAGATTGGTGAGAGTTGTTTAGCGTTTTGATTGGTTGTTCATTTCTCGGGGAAAGCCTTCAGCTGGGGGAGTGACATTGACCGAAGAATCAACTTCGAACGGTCTAAGCAGTTACATTAGTATTTTATTAAGATTTTTGAAATTATTATATGGGTGACGCCAAGTAAAAACCAGACATTCTAAAAATAGATTTACATGAACAACGGAATGCAGGAGTGCGGGCATTAAATAATAATCGCACGTGAAAGTATAACTGAACATTCTAGTCGTTTGATTTGAATATTACAGTACTGTATTACATAATTATCAGTAAAGTTAAAATTTTTTTTTTTTTTTAGATCTGCCATAAACTACTTTTGATGTTGAAGCTGATTTTTTTCTCTTTTCAGCTTCTTTAAGTAATATAGAACTTGAACCAACTCCTATAGTTTTATGTTCTGAAGGTTCTGTTGCAGGTAGAGATTCTTGATCAATATTGTCTGCTTTGATCTGCTTCCATTTAATACTTCATTTACTTTGTGTCTTCTTTGTATAAGTTTTTTTCAAATTTTTAATTCTTTTTATCACATCATCTTGTAGTTTTGGACAAAGGTCATCACAGAAAGCAATTAGGCAATATGGATAAATTTTTTCTTAAAAGTTAATTTGTTTTTCTTTTGAAAGACCTTTTGATAAAATCTCTTGAGGATTTAAAGTTATAACATTGATGTTTTTTTTTAGTAATTGAAATTCATCTCAAGAGTTATTATTTCTTATTTTAGCTTTTATTATATCAGGTTTTTTACAACTAAACTAAAAAAAATAATATTTTTATATAGCAGAAGGTTTATAATATAATGTACTAAGTGTTGAAGTTCAATTATGAAATGGTTCTATTTGATTTTTTTAATTTACTGATATATTGTTTTTTGAGTTTCTGTTTATTGCACTACTAATTAATCAATATACTATACTTCTAATTTAGTATACTTTTGCTTTATAAAACCAAATCTTTGATCAACTAAATTCCTGATATAATCTTTAATTTGAAACTGATATTCAATTTTTTGAAATATATAAATATAGTATACTCAAAAAAAATAGTAAAAAAGACAAGAATTTTTATTTTAATCATCACAATTATCTGCTCATAATTGAATTTTTTTATCTTATCTGCTATAGAAATAAGAAATAGATAAACAATTGAAGTAACTTTATTTGCTTCTTTTAATTCTTTACTTTCAGTATAAATTACATGCTAGTGATTGTCAATACTTTCATCTATTAAACTCAATTGATATGCTTTCAACAACAATAAATAATACCATTATCCAAGTTGTTAGAGATTATGAAATAATTCTATATTTTAAGCAAAATTAAAAGAAAAAATATAAAATAAAAATCAATTACATAACTTTGTTATTTATATATTATTTTTATAAGTATTTCTTATTTTTTGATAATTAGTTATATATGTTATTAATTATATATCAAGATCTTTATTTATTTTATCTATATTTTTTTTAATATTTATTTGAATATAATGCATTTATCATACTTGTCTTTAGACAATTTTTTAATTATAATTTTATCAAGTTTAGGATCAGATCTCTATAGTTGTCAAAAAGTCCAATAAGTTTTAATGATCTTTTCAGGATTCATTAAATTATAGGTATCAAGAAGACATTGATAAGAGTAATAAGAAAAAAGGAGAACAATATTATGCTTTTTATAGCTTATCATTACCTGTAGTATTACAAATTATCAAAAATTTTAATTGATTTGTTAGTTTATTTTTTTAGTTAATAATAGATAACTAATAAATATTTTTAACTCTTGATTTGTAATACTAGTTATCTGTTTATTTGCCTTTTTTCATATATATTTTTGAATAGCAACTGCCTCATTATGTTGTTCACCTATTCATTTAATAAATGAGTTTGCTTTGTTAACTTTTTCTACAAATAATTTGATTTTAAGTAAATAAGTAGTATTATTATAAGGCCAAGACAATATTGATTTATATTCATTAAGCTATTTATAAATTTGATTTAGTGCATTTTTATTATATATCTAAAATATATGAAAAAAAGTGTGATAAATTTTACTAAAATATAAAAGATGATATTTAATATATATCTGCTTTTCATATGATTTATGACAAACAAAAGTTATAAGAATCTTTATTGAATAACCTTATTAATTTTTGTTCATTTGATAACCTTTCAATACCAAAGACTATAACAAATATAATGAGACTTTTTTACTACAATTTTTTTTACACAAATAGCAGTTATTAAGTTTATTTATTAAGTTATTTACTGCTATTTGATCATTATCATTAATTTTTTCAAATTCTTGTTCTGTTATATCTATTTTACTTAATTCTGAATCTAATTCTTCTGATAGAAAATCTTCGTATATGCTTCCATCTAAGTCATTATAGTTTAACTTTAAGGTAGCAAAATTAAGAGTACCAAAAAAGTGCTCTACATTTTGAATAATAGTATTAAAAGATTCTATTATATTAAATAAGATGTAGTAAATAAAATTTTCTAATAAAACTTATTATTATTAAAGATTTTATTATTATTATTATTATTATTTTTTAACTTTAAGCAGTTATACTAGTATTTTATTAAGATTCTTGAAACTATATACATTTATAATTATATAGAATTTTCCAATATCTAAGTTTAGCATTATTCAGCTATTCTATTGATACCTAAATGCAATCTGTCACACTATCTCAGTTAGAGATAGACTGCTTGTCTAACTACTTAAAGCTATATCAGAAGGGTCTTCTTCCTTTCATGACAAGTATATCAATTGTCTTCTAAGCTTTTTTTTTTTTTTTTTTTTTCTCTTAAGCAGTTATGCTAGTGCTTTATTAAGATTTTGAAATTATATTTGCAATTACATAAATATCCTTAACAACTAAGCCTAGCATCATCTGGCTACTCTAATGGTACCTAAGTGCAACCTGCTGCATTACTTCAAACAGAAGTAAGCCACTTGTTTGACTACTTAAAGTCTATAATAAAAGAGTCTTTTTTCTTTTATGACAAACTCTAAAATTGTTTTCTGTACTTCTTTTCCAATTTGGCTTTCTTTTTCTTTCACTTTCACTTTTCTCTTTTTAATTACTTGCTGATTTGGTTTTCCTTTTTTCTTTGGTACTTTTTTCTTTTTTTCTTTTTATTCTATTTGTTATTCCTTTATTTTTTTTATATTCATTGACCTTTTCACATCAAATTCTCTATATTTGTTTATAAAATGTATTCTAGACTGTTCTTGCTACTACTTTCATAAACTGCTACCTTGATTTTGTACTTAGGAGCTGCCTTAATCTGTCTTGCATTTCTTTTAGAATAAGACCTTTAATTAATGCTTCTCTTATTTTAATTTTCTCTGCTTCTGTTTTCCTAAAAAATGTTGTATATAATACATATAGAGGAACCCAAACTTTTTTTTCTTCTTTTAACCCTTTCCAGGCTGTTGCGATGGTCACTTTTTGAATTCTTTTCTATAAGTTTTTTTGTCTCTTACATGCTGCCAGATGTGTCTGTGTTTCTTTTGTTTTGTTTTGGCACATTTGGCATTCCATTGTTGTATATACCTCTGGTCTTTTTTTGTTCAGTTCTTCTAGGATTGGAAGCTTGTCCATTATGCACTTTATGAATGCACTTCTTCTAGTACTACTTCTTCTTGTTGCGCAGTATACTCCTTTAGATATCTTTAGCCTGTTCCAAAAATATGTTTAATCATATATTGTAACTTCTGTTTCTGATTTTAATTCTCTAATTGCTTTCATTTCTTTTCATTCTGCTCCTAATCTTGCATTTGTTATCAATTTGTATAGTAGTCTTGCTGATATATCAGTATGTTTGTTTTTCTACTCTAAACAGTACTCTATCTCTTCACAGCTGACTTTTTCGACTTGTATTATTTTTCTACTTGTTGTATCTTTTTTTGTTAGCCTATTAGCTTTATCATTTTATCTATCTTTACTATGACTCTTAACTTTAACCAACTCTATCTGAATGTTCTTTGTCCTAATAAGCCCTCTAAATTTCATTATCCATATTGCATTCTTTTTTTTAAGGATCTTATTTTTGCAAACTTGTTCTAAACCTCTACTAATGTTTCTTATTGCTGCATTGCTATTTGTATAAATTTCTATTTGTTTTTCTCTTGATATTGTTAAGATTGCAGCCTATATTGCTACTAACTCAGCTATTGTCGATGTTTGTTATCCTTCTAAACCTAGTGCTAACTCTTTTTCTGACTATTTTTGCATTTCGTCTGTTTGCATCTATCCTATACCCATACTGTTTCTGCTTCTTGTGTCTTCTTTAGTCTTTAGGTTTGCTGCTCCATCTGTATATATTATATACTTGTTCTTGTTTCTTGTTATATTTCTTCTTAATACTTCTATTATCTCTTAACTAATACTGTTTTTTAGCTTTTGTCATCTGACTATCTCTACTTCTGGCTCTTTTATTACTCTTAATCCTTCAAGTTTCTGTTCTTCTATTACTAGTCTACTTGTTTTTATCATTTCTGTTATTTGATCTATTAGTATCTTGATCTTATTGCTGCCTTTTTTTATTAATACATCAGAAATCATATTGATTCTATTATTTATTCTTATCTACTGTTGGCAGCTATCTTCTTAGTATTCTTTTTCTCTTATATACTCCTTATATCTGTTGATTTCGATAACTAATTCACTTTCTTTACTCTGCATTTGCCAATGTTTTACTAGTATTTTTTTCTTTTTTTTTTTAACTATCTTTCCTAATTGTCAATTATTTTGTACACCATGTGTTACCTATTCTTTTCTTCTTTTGTCTTCTGAGATACACTCCCATCTCATCTGCATTGCTTGGGTGTTTTGTCTAATTGTTCTATATTGTCTTTTAATTTCTCTATTTTCTGACTAATGAGCACTTCTAGTTCTATCATTTTGAACTATTCTGCTTTTTTTCTCTTACTTAATAGGCCTTGGTAACTTTTCAGCTATTGCCATATGATTAGTCTTTCTTCTTTTGTATCTATTAACTGGTTTAAATATATTATGCCTGCTTCATTTATTTTTATACCACTTCTTTTTTGTAGTTGTGTATTTATAAGTTTTCTTATTTTGATTTCATATCTGAACATTATTTATAGATTGCCTTCTGTTCTTATATTTATATTAAGTTTTCTTGCTTTTAGCAATGTCAGACAAGCTAAGTTACTTTTCTAACCTTCTATATTTTTTAACATCTCCTCTATTTTCTATATATTTTCTGTTAAACCTGCTCTTTGGCATTCTTGTGTTATTCTCAATTTTGTTAACTAACCAAGACTATCTTGTCTATTTAGTCTTGCTAATAGGCCATTTATTTGTTTTGTCATTAACTCTTGTCATAATGTTTTGCAGCTTCCAAGATCTTTGTGTTCTATTATGCAGTTTTCT